GATTTAACTTCCTTTTGTCTGTCACCCTGTCTCTTAGTCTCAGTGAAGATATACCGTTGCCTCTTCATTCCAGGATCATAGTTCCATTGTTCTTCTTCATCGGTTTTGCCAGTATATCGGGCTAGTTGTCTTGGAAACATGATCCTCAAAGTGGTTATCTGTAACAGAAACATATTCTTGCCCCGTCAGACCAGAGTCCTCCTCCCCACAGCATGTGCGGTCTCTTCCTTCCACTGTGCCACAGCAGATGTGCCCATAAACATAGGATCAGCAGTGTTTCTATGATCAGTTGGTGTATATTTTAAAGATGTCCTGTTAATGTATATTTTTCTTCCTTGTAGTAATAATCTTGTGAAATAAAAATTATATTTAGATTAACAGTCTCTGGGTTTTTTCCTTTCTCTTCCTACTGTAAATGTTCCTGAAGTATATGAGTTTCACAGTTTGGTCTCTTTTGGCCATAGATGGTACACTTCACTGCCCTCTAACCTTTCTGCATACAACTTGCGGTTTGAAAATAACAATAATTATTTTTCTGATGAACATATAAGTCCTCTTTTGTGTGTCTGATACTTGTTGTTGTGGGTCTGTTTGTTGGGATGCATGCTGATTTAAGTCAGTGTTGTGTTGTGTAAGCCTCATACCTTGGATCTGGAGCATATTCTGAGGCCTGCGTACAGTTTGGTCTGTTTCCCTTGTCGTTTTTTCACTGATTCAGTTACCCATGATTGTTTGTACGGTGTGAGATCTATCAGTTGAAGTTTTCGCCTCAGACTGAGCATACTCTGTGGCCAGAGGGCACAACATTCTAAGCCATTTCTGGTCTCCTGTGAGCATTGGGATGAAGCATGTTCTTTTACTTGAAGTCTTGTGGTCAAACTTTGAGTTCTAAGTAGACCCTCACATCTGAGCCAATGTTGTTCTGTCAGCATTGCTCCAGTGAGTGTTCTTTTATAAAATTGATTTCTTTTATGATGTAAGTTCGCCTGCTTGAAGGTTTTGCTTTCGACTTTGCATTCTAAGGAGACCCTGAAGTAGTACATGTTGTTCCATGTCAATGTTTGTGTGTTTTATGCTCGTGTACATATTTGTATTCTATACAAGTGTTAGTCCTTTGTGACTGTAATGAACCAGTCCTGCTACCTTGTGCGTGTTCTAAGCCTTGCTTGAGTTCATGCCAGCAGTGCTACCTTGTTAGTGTTCTATGCCACTGATGGTCCCTTTGGAGTGTTTGGATGATGCACGTTGTTTCACATGAAGTTTTTGCCTCAGACTTTGAGTCCTAAGCTGACCCTCAGACTCTAATCCAGCTTCTTTGTCATTCTTGGTCCCGAGAGAGTGTTCTCTGTCAGATTTCGTCCCTAGAGGATGTTCCATGTCAGATTTGGTTCTTTGTGAGTGTTTGTATAATGCACGTTGTTTCACTTGAAGTTTTTGCCTCAGACTTCGAGTCCTAAGCTGACCCTCAGAACCCAATCCAGCTTCTTCTATGTCAGACTTGGTCCCTAGAGAGTGTTCTCCGCCAGCTTTGGTCCCTAGAGAGTGTTCTCTGCCAGCTTTGGTCCCTAGAGAGTGTTCTGTGCCAGCTTTGGTCCCTAGAGAGTGTTCTCTGCCAGCTTTGGTCCCTAGAGATGTCAGTTCTTTGTAGTGTTTGTATGCTGTTGGTCCCTAGACTTCGAGTCCTAAGTTCTCCAGCTTCCACTATGTCAGACTTGGTCCCTAGAGAGTGTTCTCTGCCAGCTTTGGTCCCTAGAGAGTGTTCTCTGCCAGTTTTGGTCCCAAGAGAGTGTTCTGTATCAGCTTTGGTCCCAAGAAACTGTTTCATGTCAGCTTTGGTCCCTGGAGGGTGTTCTCTGTCAGATTTAGTCCCTACAGGGTGTTCCATGTCAGATTGGGTTTTTTGTGAGCGTTTGTATGATGTACGTGTGTTTCTCCCGAAGTTTTTGCCTCAGACTTCGAGTCCTAAGCTGACCCTCAGACGCCAATCCAGCGACTTCTATGCGACCGTTGGTCCTTTGTGAGTGTTTGTATGATCCATTTTCTTTTACTCCAAGTTTCTGCCTAAGATCCTTTAGTACATCTTGCCATTGTTGTCTCTTATGTTCAGCATTGACCTGTTGCTTTCGTGAATGTAAATCATGCAGTTGATGTTTCAAGAAGTGAACATACTGATCTTGATTATGTTCACAAACCACACAGGCTTTATAGCCTTCATGTTCGTCTGGTTTGTCAGGATGTGACTGAAACTGATGCTTGATACGGGGAGCATTTATGAAGACCTTGTCATGCAGAGCAGAATTTTCATATTGATCCTGTCTTGGCATTGGGTCATTACGATGTTGTTGATGTGTTTGAAGGTGACGGTTGTGTCGAGACATAGCCATCTCCTTGACAGGATCTTCATGTGTATGCAGTCTCCGGTAGAGATCATGGCTTTGTTCAACTGTCAATTTGGCCTGTCGGGGTAAATCGTCACGATGCTGCAGCTGAACGTTCTTGTGAACTAGACCCTGCCTGCGATGCAGTGACACGCCTGGATCTGGTTTCGTTTTTGTGTTTGTCTGGGAATCGTCACGATGCTGTAGCTGAACGTACTTGTGAACTAGGCCCTGGCTGCCATGCAGTGACACACCTGGATCCTGTTTCAAGTTTGAGTTTCGCTGTCGTTTCAAGTCTTCCCCATTCACAAAGTCATGCATACCCTGTTGTTGCTCTTTACGAAAATCTGCATCATGCTGTTTTGAAAATTTCTTTTGCTTAGGGTGAATGTCTGAACCTGCAACAACATCATGTTTATGCTCAAAGTGATGAGCATGTTCTCTCTTTACACTCATGTCTTGGTTTAACTGTCCAGCTTTAATGTTGTTATATACAATTTGGTGTGAATCAGCACCGGTATGTGAAACAGACGCTAATACTCTTGGCAGATTCCTTGCATTGTGTAATTTTGGTTGATCAGTTGTTCCCGTGTCTTGTGTTCTTTGTTGTAAATTGGGCATGCTGAGTTCCAGGTACTGATCTGAAGACAGTTGATATGCAATCCTCATCATATGATAACTGTTGTTTCTCTTTAAGCATGTCAAGTACACCACGATATATTGTCTACTGCTACTTCTAAATAAACCAATGCTGCAGAAGATGGTTAGGGTCCATCATCGTCATCATCATCATCATACTAAGGTTGCTTCATCTACACACAAATTGATTCCTTGTCACCACTGGATGACATTCCCAATATAATAATTAAGTTGGATAAGATAGATAATATGTGTGTCTCTTGTTACATATTATGAGGTTATAATGGGCTTGTGTGTATGCGAGTGTCTGATATATTCGTATATCTGGACCATGTTGATATCCTGGGTTGATGGGGTTGAAACTTGAACACGAGTTGATACAAACTAAGCTGAAATTAATTCACATTGTTAATGCTTACATCATGCATTGCTTATTGTTTCCTTACATTGCTGCCTGTCCATATACTTTATTATCATGATTATAGTTAAAATGGATAGAATCATCAGTATAACGCCTGCATGTTATCAGAAATGAGTGGGCCACTGTAACTTGATAAATCCCCCAAATTGCTTGATGATGGGCCATTATCATGCCTGTTGTTAGGTGACGTCATAAGGAGCTCAGCTCTTGATGCTCAATCACCTATGAACTTCGGTTCAATATTGACGATATTTCTGACGCACATTCATCACATGTACCTGTGCCATTATGCACTTTCTTGACGGTGCCAACCTTAACAATTGTACCATAAATTACAACATGCAACAATGAAAACATCAACTGGAACTCTCACGTTGTTGAGCATTGAAAAAAAAAGGCGGCTGGTAGTATGGGCAAAGGTCAAGGTCGAATGTCATCACTCTCAATAGTGACGTCATCTGTTTTGTTCTATGACGTTTCCAAATTTGTAAAAAGTGTGTCAGTGACCTCCGTCGTTCTTTGTTCGCAGTAAATGCTTCAAAACCAATACCATTGTTTGTTTTTATTTTATTAAAAATTCTATCCATTTTAGCTATAATAACGGTAACACTATTTTTCAGCGCATTATCATTTGCAGAAGCGCTGAGTCTTAGTGAAAGACTTTAGGCTTCTGCAAATGATAAATAGCATTACCATTATATTCTCTTCAACATTTTTGTGAAAACACAACTCTTATCTTATTTTCTTATCTGCTAAGTTGACTGATGAATAATACAATGTTTGTTGAGCAATGTTAGTTTTTTCACGGAAATGGCATACATAGCAATGTTTCAGAAACAGTTAACATTTCTAAAAGCTTCAACATGCTAAAGCTCTGAAAAATAGAACTGTATACATCATGTACACAGTATAAGAAAATATGGGGTAATGGAAACAGCTGTCTTACATTGGTTTAAGTAACTGCAATATACAACTGCCATGTTAAAACCTGTAAAATGAAGACTTTCTCTGTGTTCCGTTGGTGCCCTTGTACCATGTTTTATTATTGGTTTAAGTAAACACAATATACAGTTCCCATGTTAAAACCTGTAAAATGACTACTTTCCTTGTACCATGTTTTATCGGTATCATCAATGGACTTGTTCCACAATCATGACAATGTCCATTGTGTGAACATGTCATTCAGGAGCATTTTAGTTAAGTTTACCATGTCTAACATGGCCTAAAGAAGAAATGTTTCTATGTATAAATACACAATAGATCAGCCTTAACTTAATGGTAATACATCCTTGTGTAAGTACATGGACTTCCTTAAGAGCTAAACATTATTCTGATGAGAACATACAAACAAGAATACATTTGAAGTCATTGTGTTACAAAGCCAAATTGTAAATTATTTTCAAAATGTTAGTAACTGGCCTGTCAGCTTTGCTTAGTTTAACAATGCTTTCTGGGAAAGTAGAGACACTAGCCATGATTTTTCACCTCTACAGTATATTTTCTATATCTAGAATACTGCAGATTTAGAAACTTGAAAGTACTAGAATAGAAAGTTAACTCACCTGCTCCTAATGCCTGTGAAGAGAGCTTTCCAGCACCATCAGTGTCTCCCTGATGAAGCTGAGCATCTTCTCTTTGTCCTCCAACTGGGAGCTGAGAACTTTGGGGTAACTGCTGAAGCGGAGGGATGTCCGACTGGGAGGAGTGGGAGGAGGAGGACTGAGACCCGTCAGAGTTCCCCTCAGAAGAGTCAGGTATTCCAGGAGAAGAATGAGAACTTTGCAAAGACTGAGAGGCATGATCTGCAGTTTGGGATGGGTGGGAGCTTTCTAAGGATGGTGGGATTCCTTGTTCATGATCTGGTGAAACCTGGCCTGTAGGAGGGACTCCCTGGGCTGCCTGGTCTGGACTTTGGGCTTTGGGGGATTGTTTGCTAGGTACATTATGATGAGGTTCTTGCTGAGCTGGATGGACATGGGTATGATCAACAGGTGGTGGTTGATGAGGTGGAGGTAGAGGTGGTGGTTTATGCTGAGCTGCCTGGTGAGCCTGGGAAAGTCTGGGATCAGGCTGGGAATGGGGCTGGGACTGGGATGAGGCTTGGGAGGCAGGCTGAGATGCAGACTGGGAACTGGCTGGAGCCTGCTTCTCAGTAGGTAAAGACTTCCTACCTTCTTCATCTTCTTCAAAATCCTCATCGTAAAGGTCATCCTCATCATCCTCTCTATAGGAACTGTGCCCTGCACCAGTTCGGTCTGAATGAGCTCTTGCCTGGTCATACTGTACACCCTGAGCTTCAGTTAACTGCATGTGGATGTGCAAGGTACTCAGCAGACCCACTATCAGTAAAGTTCTTGTCACTTTCATTGTGGATTATCACACCTCTTTAGGCACCCGTCTTTATACTATGTGGTAGCTGCAAAACAAAAAGATACTCCTCTTAATGATTGCATTGGCATCCTTGAGTTGCCTGAAAGTACTAGTACATTCTCAACAAAACAAACAGACACAAGGCCCAGTAGCTTCACCTGAAGTAATAACTATTTTGGTAAAAATTTCAAGTGTGAGTCGAAGAAAACTTTGTATGAAACACTCTGGAGAAAGGAAAATTTTCTATCTTGGCCACATTTTAGGGGACAATTAATGTTGAAAGCAAATAATGAGGTGACAAACAAAGTTGAATCTTCTAAGAGTTATTACTTTCAAAAATAACGTTTAAAACCCGTGCCCAGTGGTTCTTACAAAAGTATTCAAGACAAATTGACTTTTTCAAAATTTTGATCACAAGAAGAAACGTGCATTCCAAATTTTATCACTCAAGCAGTATCAGAGGAGCTTTTTCCACTGCAAAGGTAAACGTTGGGGTTGCCAGTAGTCACAATTTCATATGCCTTCCAAGTTATCAGTCACTGTTGGTCTGTCGTTCATGGACATTTGGGGCTGGCTTGAAGCTGTTTTGCTATTTTCATTCAATATCTCTGATAGTCTCTCCCCAAAAACACACAGTCAGTTTTTATTCAAATTTGGTTTCCATAGGTGAGTGACACTGCTGATAGACACTTATGACTTTAATGATGCCCATGAGTTCACTATATGCATTTGTGTATAGGACTAATACACAATCATCATTGACAAGCACATCCTCGATTAACTAGGGGACACAACCCTACATTACATAGTTGTGCTGTGGAGAGTTCTGGTGAGGTGCTTGTCAAACTCCCAGACTGTACTAAAGTACTGTCGGAAATAGAAGCAGGGGGGAAATAACCCATTGCCCGACTCCAGTGTTTTTTTCTGTCGGGCAAGCAAATTTGTATATCACGCTGTACCGGTGTCCAGTTGACTTTCCAATGTTAATAATGTTGTTTATTTAAAAAATCAACAAGAAAACGGCCGGTATAGTGAAAAAATGATAAGGGCAAGTGATTTTACATGTGCCACTGTACCGGAGTACACTAGCAATTTTAAAGTTATTTCCACCCCTGAGAAGGCTGTTACTCTGTATAGTGTATCCCTAAAATTTACACAATTGCAAATAGCATATGGATGTTCAGTGGGATGCATAATAGGATATCCAGAAAAGCATGTTTGCTCGTAAAATCGAGCAAAACTTAAAAAAAATATGAATAGCTGCTGAAAAGAATAGATCAGACTATAGATGTCTTTCTTTCATAAAGTTATGTTGAGATATGTAAATGAGTATGAAACCCATAGAAAAGTTTAAATCAGCCATCATATTGTCTCAAAACATATGGGTGGCATGACCATCCGAAGATTGACTGGACTGGATAACTCGTAAATTCGGGCAAACCTTAGAAAAAATCTGATTATATAGATGGCAATTACGACGCTCAGCCAGGTAGACGATGTGCAGTCGACTCACCTGGCATGACATGCATGTGCTGCCAACAGGCACAAGGAGTCATCTCAAAGATATTTTATGCCTTTTCTTGTGTGTTGAATATGTCTCATCTATTGATTAAAATCTTACATGTCTTTCTTTCATAAAGTTATGTTGAGATATGTAAATGAGTATGATACCTATAGAAAAGCTTAAATCAGCCATCGTATTCTCTCAAAACATATAGGTGGCATAACCACCCGAAGATCGACAGGACTGGATATTATTTGTAAATTGTTATGACAAACCGTTTCCTTCCCCAGTTTAATTCCCCTAAAGGATTATCTTATCTTAGCTGTTATCTCTATCCCCTAGCCTGACCCCAACCACCATCTGCGACACCCGTCCTGGTTTTGGTTTTGAGACGACCCCTCCTTCCTGTTTGTTTTTATAGTGATAGTGAGACTCAGTGGTAGCTACATCCTTAATAGTTTCAGTATTAAACTTATTATTTTTTTACGTCAGCCATCATTTATAATGAAGCTAAGTCTAATTTCAAAAATTTGCATTCAAAAATTGTCCTTTGTAATGCAATATCATTGCAAACTAATTTGCATAAAGTCATGGTCTGTTCCAATAATGTCGCTATGGCTCTAATTTCTCCTCAGTAAAGTCCCTTTTTTACATTTCCTATCTTGACACCACTGAGACTGTAGTTAGGCCAAACTTAGGTATTTCACACTTTCAGTTTCACATATTAACTACACAGTGTTCACGAATGGTGTTTCAAAGTAACAGGACCTTGGGTCCTGTAAGTTTCAGATGTCTGTCTGACCCATTGAAAATTCACAGGACCCATAGAATAAAATTAAACTCACATTTCAGATTTAACATTTCTTATAATTGGCATTGAAATTATTAACAAACATAAGATTTATAAACAGCAATAAACAGCAAACAACTGTCACATGTCACATATAACAACTTCAGTCAAAGTCATTGTGAAATATACAGTCGGGACACTGGGGCCGGTGGGTTGTAGACTTCTATTGGACCGTTGGCAAATCTACCTCAATTGTCAGAGGGTCCGACGCTATTCGTGAACACTGAACTACATGAATTGAACATATAAATGTGAAAAGAAAACAGTTTTTTTCTATTTCTGACAGTACTTTAGTGTTATAAAGTCATGGATGACTGCAAACAAACTAAAACTTAATGAAGATAAAACGGACACTCTCTTAGTTGGAACTAAACAACAACTTAGAAAGTCAGATGTTGAATCCATTGCTGTTTCAGACTCTGAAATTACACCATCACAGTCAGTGAATGATCTTGGAATACTCTTATAAACAACTTATGCAGAACATGCTTCTCTCATCTTGGCAGTGATTGGCAGTATCCGTCCTCTTGTCACCACAGAATCTGCTCATTGCCTTGTCCGTGCTCTCCTTCTCAGCAGACTAGATTACTGTAACAGCCTCTATATTGGCCTCCCTGACACTCTACTTGACAGACTTAAAAAGTTCAAAATACAGCCACCCGCAACTTCAGCCGAACTTCTGAACACAGCCACATTTCCCCAGTTCTAAAGCAGCTCCATTGGTTACCCGTGAAAGACACTGTGTCTCACTTACAAGTCCGTTCATGGCCAGACTCCACTTTACGTTGCAGATCTAATTAACCCCTACAGTCCAGCTCGCCAACTTTGCTCACAGCAGCAAAACATTCTCAACTACAAACATAAAACCTTTGGCTACAAAACTTTCTCCTACATTGCAGAGTCTTGTGGAACTCTCTCCCGCTTGACCTGAGACCCTCTGAATCTCTGGACTCTTTTAAAGCAAATCTCAAAACATACCTCTTTACTCAATATTATCATCAATAACATAGCCTTTATAAACTTTTATGCATTATTCATCTATTCCATTGTAGTTTTTCTTAATCTGTATATTTTATGTACATTGTATATATTTTAATGTAGCGCCAATAGCATGCTTACGAGCGTGGATATGTGCGCATTATAAATATGCACTATTATTAATAAGCAAATTATGGTGCTCTAGACCATAAGCAAACTGATACAGGGAGCCTGTATCAGGTTGGATCTTTAAAGTGATGGCAATCTGATATATTTCACAAAAACAGATGTAAGAAGCATTGGTAATCTACATGTACATCTTGGCTGTTATCATGATATCCACAGCTTAAAAATTGAAGGAAGTTATTAGTGCATGTTAGTCTGTTCCAGTTGGCTGCACAACAGCAAATATCACTATCCGCATCAGAAAAAGTTAGCTTCACAGCTTTTCAAATTCACCAAAGCATGACGAGACCAAGGTCCTTTAGATGTATCAATTGGTGCATACTCCCTCTTAAACTGACTCCTGGATACAACCTGAGGGTAACATCCATCTCACCTATAACTCTATGACAAAAGTCTCCAGAGATGACAAAACTTTATGGATATCAACTTCTTTATCATGTTTATAATTATATTCACAATAGTGACATTTCTGTAGAGCTTCTTCTACCGTTTTCAAGCATATGCTTGAAAACGGTTAGACTAACAACTAGTCTCTGAAATGAACAGAGACTTTCTTCATTTGGAAATCTAGACTTGCCACATTTTCTAGACTAACGTGGGATTTCTTGGATATGTTTGCTTCAGGGTCTGTATGAGTCGACACACTAGAAAACGGTATAAGAAGCAATACCGAAACGTCGCTATTGTGAATATAAAGAAGTTGATCATCCATAAAGTTTTGGGGAAAAGTTCCTCCCATTCCCCCATCCCAAATAGTATTTATAAATATACTAAAATTATTAACAAAACTTAACACAACAATTACTAGAGAACTCACAAAATGACTAAAGATCCAAAATTTAAGTTAGGGTTAGGTTTAGAGTTAGGTTTAGTGTTGGGGGAACGGAAGGAACTCTTTCCAAGTTTTGTCATCTCAAACAAATAAAAATAAGTGTCCAGTTGCATGTTGATAAATTGTCGTCTGGTTGTTTCCGACATGTTCATCGTAGCAAAACAATCATGAAATTGTCAGTTATTATCACTATAAGCTACGAGTGCACCTGCTCAATGAAGTTAAAATTATCAAACCGTCACAAATCACATAAATCTCTAATCCACATTATTTCTAAACAACAGACATAAACAAATGATTCACCATTCAATGTGAGACGAATAGAAGACGGCTGCAGCTGAATAATGTCGGCATCATTACGATGCGTTTCCCATGCTGAAGTTCACAAAGTTGCAATATGTTCACTTGTTGGAGTATTGCACTAATGTGGTGTGATAGCTTTAGAGAAGATAATCCGCCGTGAGGTCGCAAAATACGTAAAGAATTCCGGTTGTGCCACGTAAGGTATAGATATTTTCATATGGATGCTGCCATTTTGGGTCATGCGAGGTCGTCGAAATGACACAAGCAATTTGATTGGTTCGTACGAAAAAAGTGTAATCAGAGTTACCTCCCCTTGCCAAGATATTAGAAATCAAAACAACGATAGTGTACAGCAAAATCCTCGTTGCGTCAGAGTATGCGTGTATAATATTTAGCATTTACGTTCCAGACATATTTGCACACATCCTAAGGAATAATAAAGCGAACGAATCGAACGTAATGTTTTGACTTATGATACTGTTGTCAGAATATTGTTGAATCAATAAAAATAACGATCAATTTAAAGACTTAACATTTCATAAAATCTAAATCTGTTGATTCAGATTCAGATTTAGATTTTATGAAAATCTGCAAGTGTTCATATGGACTTCTTAAGTTGACAGCTCTCCTTCTTGTGTTCTCAGTACAAAAACTCAGTCTAAGTGGGTAAAGGTTTTACGCTACTTTTAGCAACATTCCATAATTTGAGCTTCAAACATTATTGTCATGTGGGAAATCGAGCCCGTGCCTTCCTCTTTAGCACCAGTCAATCCTGCCGTCCAAGTCTGTTGCTGTTTGAAGTTACGTTTCCCTTTAAGGGGAACAGTGCTCCTAGAGGTGCCACACCACCTGTTCTCAGCCTTTCTCCTTCTTGAACTCTTGTAAATCAATCTGGTATGGTAATTCCTGTCGCTTCAGAATGATGTGCGTATTTCGGGAATATATTTTAGAAATAATTTTTTTCTCAAGCATTTCTTATGTGTCGAATGATAACGAGTTGTCTTTATATCTTCAACGATTAAAGTGAGTGACTTTAGTTTTACGCCGTTTTAAGCAATGTTCCGCCAATATCACAGCGGGGGACACCAGAAATGGGCTTCACACATTGTGTCCATGTTGGGAATCGAACCCGGACCTTCGGCGTGACGACCGAACGCTTTGACCACTAGGCTACCCCACCGACCTTGAACGATTGAAAGCTCCAAACCTGTTACATTACTTGACCACTGTAAATACTTTTTGTGTTTTAGTTTATATCGAAACTCTAACTGAAATTGTGACCAGTAAGGACGGTTTTACGTCTTAAAATACTTTAATGGTTTTGTGAAACCATGTTGTTTGTCTAAAGTCTAGCATCGCTGAACGTTAGCTGTATGAAATATTTTGACACTGTTAAGAGAAACGGATCGATGAAATATTTTGACACTGTTAAGAGAAGCGGATCGATGAGTTTGACTCAATAAACAGTAACGTATAACATCTTTTGTTTATGCCGTTTAGATACATGCGTAACTTAACAGAATAAGATAGATTCTGTATTTTTGTGTAATTATGTACACCGTGTAGTGCGTCAGTGTCAACAGAGGTGGCGAGTTTGTCCAGCCAAGATACCCTATAAGCCCCATAAGGACTAATTGATAGTGAGTGAGTTTAGTTTTACGCCGCGCTCAGCAATATTCCAGCAATATGACGACAGTCTGTAAATAATCGAGTCTGGACCAGACAATCCAGTGATCAACAGCAAGAGCATCGATCTACGCAATTGGGATACGATGACATGTGTCAACCAAGTCAGCGAGCCTGACCACCCGATCCCGTTAGTCGCCTCTTACGACAATCCAATTAATACAGAAAACAATGTATATTAAACGCACTGAATTTGCTTAAAGGGAGAATAAAGCGAAATGTAACCTTTGCGTCTTGAAACTAAATAGTTGTTGTGTTACTTTTTAACAAATAACTGATTATTAAATGGACAAAGGTAGGTCACGTGATACCAAAATCACGCAAACAACCAATAGGGACACGGATGAGTATTCAGGGGAAATTCTTCCCTCGAGAGTGTCCAGTTGCGGACATAGATGGCCCTGACGCGTGACCCTGAATTATGAAGACGGCATTGGTCAGTAGAACGGCTTTAATTCAAACCCAAGGTTATAGAATATATATTACAACTGGGAAAAAGAAACGTGAGTGATGAGAGTTTAGTCATTGCGATATTGCCGACTGTATCCAGTAACCATGTGGGGAAACGAACCCGGGTTGTCGGTGTACGAGCGGACGCTTTAACCACTAGGTTACCCCATTTCTAGAAACCATTAATTCGACGAATTTCAGTTTCTAAAGGAGGTGTACCGGTCCTAAATTCAGCAGGGCTAACCGGGGTGTGATACCCGATACCTACCCCACCGATTCGCCACTGATACATACACTTGAAGTAAGCATCTCTTTATCGGTGACCTCGATCAGTGTTATTTTCACGTGGTGTATATTTAGCCACGTACGTGTCAAGGACCGGTTAAGTGGGGCTTGGTCGGGTCAGCATGAATCAGGGAGGGTCACCAACATTATGAGAGTTTCAAAATCATAAAGATTTTACACATATAAGCGGCTGGTGATATAAAAATCGACATTTTAAAATTAAATCTAAAATGCATCTTTTTTTTTTTTTGTGGGAGTGGGTAATAAAAAATATGTGCAAGGACATAGCGACACATTCAAAACTATGACCAGCAGTAAAGGCGGTCATTATTTCCAGCATCAAAGTTTATAAAACATCCCCGCACCTTTCATAACACATTAAGGGCGGTGGGGCAGCGTAATGGTTAAAGTATTCGCTCGTCACGCCGAAAACCCGGGTTCGATTCCTCACATGGGTACAATGTGTGAAGCCCATTTCTGATGTCCCCCGCCGTGATATTGCTGGAATATTGTTAAAAGCGGCGTAAAACCATACTCACTCCCTCACTCATAATGCATTATCAGTCCGTTATTGCAATTGTTATCATAAAGATATTATGACAGCGAATGAGACAAAAGTAGCATGGCATTCAAACGAATAATCAAGGATGAAAGTTAAAACAGCAGACATATTTTTCGTCAAAACGTCAACATCGAAGGATGAAAATAAGTGAGCTGTTCCCCTGATTTGGTCACTTACTCTATTTTTTAAATAACAAGTATATAATGTGTATGAATTATTATTCTCTTTTGTCTTTCTGTCCTTAAGATTGTAATACCGCGATCTGTGATTGTGATCAAACGGACAAATGGACGAATGGTAGGCTGCATTATGCAGTATCGACCTGGCGGTGTGAGACTGTGGATGAACCGTCTGTTGGTACATTTGTACAGGGCGTATTTGTCACATCTATTGTTTCATGGTTTTATTAAAGTCGTGTTCGTATTGGCAATTATTGTAATTATACTATTTGTATATTTATTTGTTCGTTTGTTCGTTCGTTCATTCATTCATTCATTCATTCATTCATTCATTCATTCATTCATTTATTCATTCATTCATATATGTAATCTTTTTTCTTGGGGGTGGGGGACGGTGGGGTAGCCTAGTGGTTAAAGCGTGGGGTGGGAGGTACTGCTATTGCAACATTTATAAAGAGTTCAAGGATGTCAACTCAAAACCGTCAATATAATTATTCTTTTCATAGTACTCATATCTTCGTTTAGAGGAGTGGTTTTGAGGAAGTAACCACATGCGTTCACTCTCCTGTCCTTGATGCCTTAGGGTATTGTAAGATATGACCAGATCTAACGATTCTGAAACCCGATCTTGCAACGTAGCAACCACCCCACCGCCCTGGAAGTCTCCTGTCCTTGAGTTTAAACGGTGGAGGCCATTAGTTACACATCACCCATGGTATTGTACAGATATGCGTCCATTATTGCTAATTTGTATGATGATGGTGGTGGTGGAAGCGCAGATCTAACGAGCGCTTCTGGTCAAACCCGATCTTGATTTCGTTTGACGTGACTGAAAACGAAGTGATTCTGAGCGAACGAGTTTAGTTTTACGCCGCTTTTAGCAATATTCCAGCAATATCACGACGCGGGACACCAAAATGGGCTTCACACAATGTACCCATGTGAGGAATCGAAACCGGGTCTTCGGCGTGAAGAGCCAACGCTTTAACCGGTTTAACCACCCCCACCGCCCTGGAAGTGATTATGGTCAAATAAGTGAAGTAATACCGACAGCAGAGATCTGTTAATAAGTGAACATTGGCTGAACATTGCTGTGAGCAAGCTACTGTAAGCATGGATGACAGCTGTTGTCATTAACGCCCATTTCACAGAAAATGATCAACTTCACGGTTGTCCGCTCATAATTGAGAACTTAGCATCCCAGATAGTGTGAAATCCACGAGCACGCCATCGTGGACACCAGAGTGAGTGAGTGAGTGAGTATGGTTTTACGGCGCTTTTAGCAATATTCCAGCACTATCACGACGGGGGACACCAGAAATTAGCTTCACACATTGTACCCATGTGGGGAATCGAGCCCGGGTCTTCGGCGTGAGGAGCCAACGCTTTAACCACTTGGCTACCCTACCGCTCCTGTGGACACTAGAAACAGTCCATATTAGCAATATGAAACAAGAACAATATATAATATATCCGATATAAGTGTTTATCTCTTCAATGGTTTGTTCCGAAAGCATACAAACCGTTGGAAGATATTGTTTTATCGAATTTTACGGTTTTGTCCCTAATTTTTTGTTAACGTTTTGTGAATATTAACCCTTAGTCTGATAAAATATTAACTGGTTCAGTCTCGACCATGGACTGGCGTACCAAGGATTATAGTGTTCCTGTTTGTACATACACTTTCCTAACCGTTATTGTCCGGATTGTGGGGCGTTCGGTCTCAGGAGGTCCATATTAACGAGATTTTCATGTATACCTGCAACAGATATTGAATAAAATGCAGCAAGTCAACTACACTGCTGATCTCCGCACATTGCGCCAAATACTCGTAATAAGTTTAACGGGGCGGTGGGGTAGCCCACTGGTTAGAGCATTCGCTCGCTCGCTCGTCGAAGACGTGAGTTCGATTCCCCACATGGTTAGAATGTGTTTTCCCTGCGTGATATTGCCGGAATATTGCTTTAAGCAATACCCAATACATGCTTAACTTTACTTTGCTCAGTATACCGGTTTGTCCTTGTCACGGACGACACGGCTAAAAACATCCACGTGAGATGAATACTGATCGAGGTTACTGCTATAGAGATGCTTACTTCAAGTGTATCAGAGGCGGGTTGGTGGGGTAGGTATCGGGTATCATACCCCGGTTGGCACTGCTGAGTTTAGAAGCGGTACGCCTACTTCCAATAAACACCCTTCTCACCCCTCGTACGTTTCTATAAGGGGCGATGGGTTAGTCTATTGGTTAAAGCGTCCGCTCGTCACGCCGAAGACCCGGGTTCGATTCCCCACATGGGTACAATGTGTGAAGCCCATTTCTGGTGTCCCCCGCTGTGATATTGCTGGAATAATGCTAAAAGCGGCGTAAAGCCATACTCAGCCAGTCAGACTTTGAAAGCCATGCCGACATCTATAGCTCCAGTATGTACGAAACAGTTCATTGCCTGTCCCATGCATATCAAACGGAGTGACGTTACTTACAAGTACTTCCAGTTGCGACTGGTTTGCGTGACTAATCACAGAGTGGCACGTCTCTGAGACCGCAATATCCCTTAATGGCGTATTTGTAAAATGGCGTAGCATCAGAAGTGAATGTCACATGCACAACCGCCGGGTTGAGTGGAATGAAGCAATCAGGATGATGTTCCTGCCCTTCATTTATGTGGCTGACGACGTTGAAGGGTAACATGGAGCTCGGCCCACGTCTCCAGAGGACAACACTTGGGGCTGCTAACGAGTGTGTTTGTTTGGGTGATAATTGATCACACGTGGTCTGTGTTCAGTAAATGCTGACGTCAGAGGGTGATATTTTTCACAAGGAGCAGACGACATTGTTCGTGTACCAGAGTTGGACCGCAGACGGCGGCCGCATGAACGACGTTCAAATGTAGCAGCTACCTATCTACCATTGTTTTGGTGAAGAGACGATTATATTCTTATGTGGCAATGATTTCACCCAGTGTGTTGACAGCATCGTCTGCGGCAGCGTGATTTAAACTGATGTATATAGGTAAAGTAAAGACCTAAAGTAAAGTGAGACAATGATTCCATTTTAGCAAACAGGGACATGTCTTCAGGATTCTTCTAAGTAAAGTCGATAAAAGGTTAAGTAATCACCTCAACACTGATATATTCACAAAAGCAAAAGCAAATACGAAAGTGATCTCTCTGAGGTAAAAGGCACCATTCACGGATTTTCTCTCTCCATTGGACACGGATATAAGAGCGTCTGATTCAGTTCAGTCACGATATCTGACTGAGTTTATGTTTGCATTGTAAAAGATTCACCTTCTTCCAAGTCACGCCAAACCCTTACCATCAACAACAAAGGATATTGCTGGCATCGTGGGTTGAAGGATTTGGAAAACTATTTGATCATTTCAAGACTGCCACTTCTCAACACGGCACTGATCAATAATATATTCCCGTCGTATACCATACGACAGAAAAAACGACGGTATTTAGTCAGATCCAACAGTGCTCCACAACCCACTTCACCAGGACGTCTGCTCCTTCCCGCGCTAACTATGGCAGGGGAGAGGAAAAAGAAGACCAACGATCTATCTGACCAACAACAACTCTTTCTGGCGCTCCGAGAGGGTCGGATTAAGAAGACACGGATCATCCTTGAAGCGTCCGACGAACAACTGGACTCCGCTCGTAACGAGGATGGACATACTTTACTCATTGCTGCCTGTCACATCAAGGTAGGTGTTATTCCATGGTTACATTGGCCTTAGTGCAAGGTGTTATTCCATATTTACATTGACCTTAGTGCAAGGTGTTATGCCATTGTTGCATTGGTCTAAGCGCAAAGTGTAATCCAGTTGTTACTTTGGTCTAAGTGTAAGAGGTTATTCCATGGTTAAATTGGCCTTAGTGCAAGGTGTTAGTCCACAGTTACATTGGCCATAATGTAAAGATCTATTCCACAGATACATTGGCCTTAGCGTAAGTGGTTATTCCACAGTTACATTGGTCTTAGTGTAAGTGGTTATTCTACAGTTACATTGGCCTTAGTGTAAGTGGTTATTCTACAGTTACATTGGTCTAAGTGTAAGTGGTTATTCTACAGTTACATTGGTCTTAGTGTAAGTGGTTATTCTACAGTTACATTGGTCTAAGTGTAAGTGGTTATTCCACAGTTACATTGGTCTAAGTGTAAGTGGTTATTCTACAGTTACATTGGCCTTAGTGTAAGTGGTTATTCCACAGTTACATTGGTCTTAGTGTAAGTGGTTATTCTACAGTTACACTGGTCTTAGTGTAAGTGGTTATTCTACAGTTACATTGGCCTTAGTGCAAGTGGTTATTCTACAGTAACATTAGCCTTAGTGCAAGGTGTTTATTCCATGGTTACATTGGCCTTAATGCAAGATGTTTATTCCATGGTTACATTGGCCTTGATGCAAGGTGTTATTCCATATTTACATTGGCCTTAGTGCAAGGTGTTATGCCATTGTTGCATTGGTCTAAGCGCAAAGTGTAATCCAGTTGTTACTTTGGTCTAAGTGTAAGAGGTTATTCCATGGTTAAATTGGCCTTAGTGCAAGGTGTTAGTCCACAGTTACATTGGCCATAGTGTAAAGATCTATTCCACAGATACATTGGCCTTAGCGTAAGTGGTTATTCCACAGTTACATTGGTCTTAGTGTAAGTGGTTATTCTACAGTTACATTGGCCTTAGTGTAAGTGGTTATTCTACAGTTACATTGGTCTAAGTGTAAGTGGTTATTCTACAGTTACATTGGTCTTAGTGTAAGTGGTTATTCTACAGTTACATTGGTCTAAGTGTAAGTGGTTATTCCACAGTTACATTGGTCTAAGTGTAAGTGGTTATTCTACAGTTACATTGGCCTTAGTGTAAGTGGTTATTCTACAGTTACACTGGTCTTAGTGTAAGTGGTTATTCTACAGTTACATTGTCCTTAGTGCAAGTGGTTATTCTACAGTAACATTAGCCTTAGTGCAAGGTGTTTATTCCATGGTTACATTGGCCTTAATGCAAGATGTTTATTCCATGGTTACATTGGCCTTGATGCAAGGTGTTATTCCATATTTACATTGGCCTTAGTGCAAGGTGTTATGCCATTGTTACATTGGTCTTAGTGTAAGTGGTTATTCCACAGTTACATTGGCCTTAGTGCAAGATGTTTATTCTATGGTTACATTTGCCTTATTGCAAGGTTGTATATTCAACGGTTACATTGGCCTTAAGTGCAAGGTGTTATTCAGGGTTACATTGGCCTTGATGCAAGGTGTTATTCCATATTTACATTGGTCTCATGTCGAGGTGTTATTACGTGGTTACACTGGCCTTAGTGCAAGGTGTTATTCCATAGTTACACTGGCCTTGGTGCAAGATGTTATTCAACGGTTGCATTGGCCTTAGTGCAAGGTCTTATATCATGGTTACATTGGCCTTAGTGCAAAGTGTAATCCAGTTGTTACTTTGGTCTTAGTGTAAGAGGTTATTCCATGGTTAAATTGGCCTTAGTGCAAGGTGTTAGTCCACAGTTACATTGGCCATAATGTAAAGATCTATTCCGTGGTTACATGGTGTAAGGTGTTATTCCAGGGTTAGATTAGCCATAGTGTGAGGTGGTATTCCATGGTCACATTGGCCTTAGTGTGTGGTGTTATTCCTTGGTTACATTGGCTATAGTGTTACGTGTAATTCCAAGATTGAATTGGTTTTAGTGTTGGGTGTTATTTCATGGTTACACTGGCCATAGTGTCTAGTGTCATTCAATGTTATGTTACTCGGGCAATAGTGTTAGATGTTAGTCCATGGTAATATTTGCCAGTGTTATATGTTTTACTTTGCTGTAGTGTAAGGTGTTGTTCTGTGCTTGGATTGGCCATATCGTTTCATTGGAAGTGTAATTCCATGGCTACATTAGCCGCAGTGTTGGCTGTTCATCCACGATCATATCAACCATAATATTGGATGTAATCCACAGGTTACATTCACCAGTGTGTCGGGGTTTAGTCCATGGTTACACTGGCCAGTGTGTTGGATGTTCGATGTTACATTGGCCCTAATGTTAGGTGTTAGTTAGTATGTAATGTTTTATTCCATCGTTACACTTACTGCAATGTAGGGTGTTAATCGAAGGTTAAAGTTGCTCTAGTGTTGGGTGTTATTCCACGGTTACATTGGTCATAATGCTAGGTGTTATTACATTATAACGTTCGTCCTGGTTTTGGGTGTTATTCCAGGAATATATTTGCCTCAGTATGTTAGAGTTTAGTCCAACTGTTATATCGGACACAGCGATAGGTGTTTTTCCATTGTTATATCGAACAATGGTAGTTGTTATTCTATGGTTACATAGGCAATTGGTAGCTGTTATTCTATGGTTACATAGGCAATTGGTAGGTGTTATTCTATGGTTACATAGGCAATTGGTAGGTGTTATTCTATGGTTACATAGGCAATTGGTAGGTGTTATTCTATGGTTACATAGGCAATTGGTAGCTGTTATTCTATGGTTACATAGGCAATTGGTAGGTGTTATTCTATGGTTACATAGGCAATTGGTAGGTGTTATTCTATGGTTACATAGGCAATTGGTAGGTGTTATTCTATGGTTACATAGGCAATTGTGATCGGTGTAATTCAATGGTTTCATTCGCGTAGGTCTCGGTTGTCATTCCTTAATTATGTTGGCCACATGGATGGTTCTTACAATGTTACAATGATTTATTGTTACAATGAGATAGGTGTGATTTATATTATCCATAGTACAAGATCTGATTGTATACACAGTCAACACTAAAGTGTTAGGCATTATTCCCTGGTTACATTGGCCACAGAATGGGATGTTTTGGTTCCATTTACCAAAATTATTATTATCAGATGTTATTCCAAGATTATATTGAAGACAGTGCCGGGTGTTATTCCATGGTTACATTGGTCACAATATTCGGAGAGATTCATTGGTTGATTGGCAACAGCGTTGGGTGTTATTCGACTGTTACATTGCGCGATGCAAAAGCATGTAATGCAATATGTATTGGTTATATTGCGTACCAAAAACTACTTATAATCGAGTTAATGCTTGATTTATAGAGCAAATACACAGCAAAATCACTATGCTTGATTAAGCTTTAATAACAACTTTTATTTATGATTAAAAATAAAAATGGGAATAATATTTTGCAATATGAAAAAGGAAATATCCGAAGATTTCCGAGTGTTACGAAGTTTTCCGAATGGCAAGTCAAAATACCGGTTTTCGATCAGCGTATCGCAATACGTATCGTTTTCATGTCTGAACCACTACCGGTAAACCGGTTATATTGGGTCTGATTCTTTCGTTACATTGGCCACCGTGTTGTGTAAAATTCCATGGTTACTTTGATCTCCGTTCTGGGTGTTATTCTAAGGTTACATTGCATACATCGTTGAATGGTGTGATTCATCTGAATCTTTGGCCATAGTGTAATTACATGGTGTTACATCGGTAAAAGTGTTGGGTGATTCCATGGTTACATTGGTGAAGTTGGGTGTTATTCCATGGTTGCATTGGTGAAAGTTGGGTGTTATTCCATGGTTACATTGGTCAAAGCGTTGGGTGTTGTTCCATGATTGCATTGGTTAAAGTGTTGGTTGATTCCATGTTTACACAGGTCAAAGTGTTAGGTGTTATTCCATGGTTTCATTGTGACAATGTTGGTGTTATTCTATGGTTATATTGGCAAAAGCGGTTATGTGATGCAGATGGTTACACTGGCCATATTATTCCGTTGTTACATTTTCCAATATTGGGTGTTAATCTTCGTTATATTGGCAGCAGTGTTAGGAATTTTTGTTCAATGGCTGCATTAACAATGGTGCTAGATGTGTTTCTTTGGTTGCACGAGACACATTTTAGATGTTATTCCATAGTTATATTTGCCATAGTTGTGGGAATGATTCCAAACACTTTGACAGAACAATAACAGAACGTATTCCATGCTTGCCTTGCCACAGTGTTAGCTTGTATTCCATGTTGAAATTGACAATTATCGCTTTCTTATTAACTCCGTAACTAACCAACCATATTTCACCCCGTGAACGCTTGGAATTAGCTGAGATATTAAAGTTCTGTATTTTTTTAATGAAATACTGTTTATTCCATAATTCTAATGAGCATCTGTTATTACATCAGGATCCATCAAGGAGGCTGCACATGATGGAGATGCTGGTTGAACGTGAACCGGAAATAAACCGTCGCGACCTGAGGGGCAGGACCGCACTCAGCCACGCTTGTGAAGTCGGATGTTGTGACGTCATCAACGTACTGATCCGCCATCACAGCGTCGATCCAGATGCCGTCGATTTTAAAGGTAATGTCGCTTATATTATCTTATGTTAGAGTGTTATTATTTGCATATGAACATTCGGAGTGAGTGAGTTTAGTTTTACGCCGCTTTTAGCAATATTCCAGCAGAATCACGGCGGGGACACCAGAAATGGGTTTCATACATTGTACCCATGTGGGAACCAAACACGGATCTTCGGCGTGACGAGCTAACGCTTTAACCACGTATGGTTTATTGATTTGTTTATGTCGGTGACAAAGAACACAGTTTCAAGATACAGTTACAATAATGAATGAGTCAGATATGTGTGAAATTGAAATACTATTACAAGTGTCAAACAAGTCAGCGAGCCTGACCACCTGTTAGTCGTCTCTTACGGCAAGCATGGGGTGCTGAAGACCAATTCAAACCCGGATCTTCCCGGTTCCCAAATCGAAATAAATAAGCTAACAATTGATTTTGTAGAAATTACCAAAACGTAAAAACAATTGCATTGAGAAATAGATATTTGCAGGTGTTCAGAACATAAATACTTTGTTGGACGTACCATAGGAAAAATAGATTGTTCTAACAGCAACATCCAGCTTAAATGTTGTGATCAAGGTTTATGTCCAGAGGCTGAAAATAGTAAGACTGTAGTAAGTAGTATATCATGAAGGTTGCCAGCCTGATCAATTACGCGAAGACAATAAATAACAACGCGTGTAGTTTAAAATACGTTATCGAAAAATAGGAATAGGAACGTTGATATGGTTGCTCGAGAGAGATTAATGTAGCACACATGTTTTGACCTTTGTTCGACCGAAACATATAGTATGTGAATGGACTCTGTGAATGGACGTTCAAAACCCAGTAAGCTGTAGCTAGTATTGACAAATGAACAAATACGTGTTGCCACATTCTCTACAAACCTTGAACCATGAAATCAAATCGTTTTGATTTGATAGGTATCATATGGTCTTGTTACTACCGCTCCTAATGAATTCATCTTGATTAACAATTTGCTTTGGGCATCATAACGTCATGACCTGTGAAGATCCGGGTTAGAATTTGTCTTCACAACCCATGCTTGTTGTAAGAGGCGACGAGCGGGATCGGGTGGTCAGGCTCGCTGACTTGGTTGACATTATCATCGCATCCCATTTGCGTAGATCGATGCTCATGATGTTGATCACTAGATTGTCTGGTCCAGATTCGATTATTTACAGACGGCCGCCATATAGCTGGAATATTGCTGAGTGTGGCGTAAAAACAACAGAGCAAACAAAAAACGTCATCAAGTGTGGTTTCGGAACATGATGGCCAAACCTAATGTCGTCACATTGCATGATCTCACTGATTTAAACCAAGATCTCATCACTATTCATTCTGGATTTAGCCAAATGTCTGATAGTAATACGCCAGACTTTTTAAACCATGTAATTTCCTTTTTAAGAGTCGTAGTTGAGCATGGTGAAGCAATTAGTCGCATACTTCAGCGCAATCCAAATATGGTTAGTCAGTGAAGAATGCGTGTCCATACCTTCCTGTTTACTGCATGAAACAGCGAGATTGGAAATTGTTGGAAAATGTATCCGTCATGAATGTTTTTTGTAACGTCTTTCTAGAATTAACGTCCAAAAAGCGTGCCCGCCATGATATTGCTGGAATGTTACTAAAAGCGGCGTAAACCCATGCTCACTCCAATTAGAGTGCATCACAAAGTCATTGACACACCATCGTCTATCTCATTGCATGTCAAGGTCAGTATGGCAGTGTGTCAAGGTAGTCGTGTGGTTAAAGCGTTTGCTTGTCACGCCGAAGTCCCGGGTTTGATTCACCATATGGGTACAATGTGTGAAACCGGTTGTGGTGTCGACGCCGTGATATTGCTAGAATATTTCTAAAAGCGGGGAGCGGTGGGGTAGCCTAGTGGTTAAAGCGTTCGCTCGTCACGCCGAAAGTCTGGGTTCGATTCTACATGGATACAATGTGTCAAGCCTATTTTTGGTTTCCCCCGCCTTGATATTGGTGGAATATTGCTAAAGCGGAATAAAACCCAACTCACTCGCTATAAAAGCGGCGTAAAACCATACTCAGTCATCTGATATCGTCGTCATCACCACACTCTTCGTCATTAAGGGTCCATGGCTTAGCTTTGGTGTGAAGCGTCCGGTCTAGATTCTCTGAAGCCCTTTCTTTACGTCCGCCACTACGATAGATGTAATATATGTTCATAGTAACATCCTCTTTATCGTTTCAGCTTATTTTAATTATTAATCTTATAATGAATGATACAATTATCACCATCGTTGTAGATGATACTTATGAAAGTACAACATGGATCATGATATTATGATTACTATTGTAGGTGATACACCTCTGATCCATGGATCAAGGCAAGGCCAGCATGAGGCCATTACCCTTCTCTGCCAGACGTTCCGTCGCCTTGGGCTAAAGGTGGATCACTTCAACGATGAAGGTTTCTCTGCACTGCTTATTGCAGCCCGTAATGGTAACCTGGAGTGTTGTCGAGTTCTTGTAAACACCGGCAAGGCTTCTCTCGGCCTTCGAGACAAACAAACAAATCTTCTCCCTATTGAATGGCTACAGCAACAGCAGTTTGACCAGGCCTCCATTGAATTCCTTCGACCGAAAAGGAAATTCTTCCGCGTCGCTAAGCTGGCTACATCTTTGGCAAAGGCCAAATCAATGTCTGTCTTTGACAAGAAGTTAATACCGCCACCAGCAAGACCCTCGAGGTCGTTGGTTCCAATCACCAGAAACGCATCCATCGAGAAGAAGTCTCAGTCAGTTTCTGGACACAGGGTCAAACCACAGCGACAGAGATCTACAGATGATGACCCTTCTCGTCTTGGACGCAGGGGATCACAGCTGACCGCTGATGCTGTGTACAACTGCACCCCCTTTACGTCATTACTTCAAGCCAACTCGCCAACCAAAGAGCAGGCACCGGATATACTGAAGAAAACCCTTCAAAGACGACCCAGCGACACCAAGCCCAAGGCTAAGCCTCGGAAACGCCGCACGAATAAGCCACGCGGTAAACTTTCCACAGAGACTTCTCTGGATGCGGAGAAAGACGGGATTACGGGGATGAAGAACCTTTCTGTTCATCCTGACCCCAACCTCAAGGCCTCGTGTGAGAGTCTTTCTTCCGTGGTTACTTCTACGGACACCACCTCTTTGTCGGATGATGACACACCAGAACTGAAGGCAGAGTCCTGAGAAATGGTCAAGCGTTACTATGGAACAAGGTTTACCTTTGCCTCGCCTGATTCTATTGGTATTGTGGCAGATATTGACCTCGTGTTTTTTTAAATGCATGGCAATAATGAACTGTTTATCATTTCGTTGACGAATTTGATTTAACTTACAATGATCGTCTTTTACAACCTGAAAACTCAAAGGACGTGACATAACTTACAATGTGTCAATTTATGCGGTCTGTTTCATCAGTGATTCATCAAGTTTTTACCACCGACCTGCAATTTACAATGCATTATTCTCATCTCATGATGGGAATATTTTACGATGCAACTTTTGTGAAAGCATCACATGATATTATGTGAGCACAGTCAGTACTGATTCAGTATATTATATCCACTCATTATCGACTCTCGAACTATGGTACTCACGAACTATAGATTAATATAGATCTTAGTTTCGGTTTAGACGAAGTGTACTCTCCATGTTACTATATAATCATAAACACGCTGGAATCTATCTCGAATTTCAGAAACAGTAAGTACTTTTGCTCTTGTACGTATAGGTTAGTTTTAGTGAGCATTTATAGCGAGGAATGAAACATTTCACTTTACAACTTTATTACCATTTTACTCTTTTATGCATTAATAAGTGGAATAAATTTACAATACTATTCCCGAAACATATTGCACAGGATTCAGGCTGTATATGAACATATTTCTCTTTTATGCATGAATAAGTGGAATAAATCTACAAAACTATTCCCCAAACATATTGCACAGGATTCAGGCTGTATATGAACATATTTCTCTTTTATGCATGAATACGTGGACCAACAAGTACCATATTTTAACGTCTTTTGGTATGACGCGGTCGGGGATCGAACCCACGACCTTCCGCTCTCTGGGCGGACGCTCTAACCACTACACCACGGAGGCGGTCTCTAAACTTGAGACACATTATAACAATATTCCACCATGATATTGCCACAACATTGTACGCACTCTGTACATATAGTCACTGTATCGATTAATGCCATTACGCTAATGAGCAAAAACGGAAGCATTTAACTGACAGCTCAGTGGCCATTGACGATTTATCCCCAAGGAGGCAAATAACCGACCTATTATATTTTGTCGAAGCAGGAAAAACGGACGTGTTTACAACAGTTCGGTGTTGATTTCGCAAATGACACAGAGTATTCTCTGTAGTGTGTAGTGCCTACAATGAATTGCAAATATGTCCATGGCCTGTCAATGAAAGCCATGTTGATGCCAAACAGCCTAACCACCAGAATTTAGGGTAAGTCAAACTTCAATAATGTTAGGTTAAAATTGAAAACAAAAGGAAGTGTTCTTAAGGTTTGGGGAGATACTTAGGCGCGTTAGAAACTCATATTGCCAATAAAAATAGTATTTACATGCCCCTTGTTATACGACGACGATAATCATGAACTTGAGGTGACGTTGTATTAAAGAGATGATCGGGGCGGTGAGGTAGCTTAGTGGTTCAAGCGTTCGCTCGTCACGCCGAAGATGCGGGTTCGATTCCCCACATGGGTACAAAGTGTGAAGCCCATTTGTGGTGTCCCCCGCCGTGATATTGCTGGAATATTGCTAAAAGCGGCGTAAAACCAACCTCACTCACTCACTCACTAAAGAGATGATCAATGTGCCCGATTGTATTTGTTGGTTTTCTTTGTGGGAAAAATGTTTTCCGAGAAAATAGTTAATGCAGCTTTACCAATACGTTTATCGCATACGATATTCCGTAAAGGCACGATATTTTATGAATGATACATTCCCTTAATACGATGCGACGTTTCGGTATGGATCCGTACACCGTTGTCTTGCTTGACCCCAGATTATATCTATACTGAAAATAATATAATAGAACAGATGACGTTGAGGGGAGAGATAGCATCCATAAACTATCATGCCTTTACTGTTACTTACCAACATTAATACAAGACAATCAAACAGGAAAATATCCTGTAACGGGGCTGCTTGGGTTTTGAATCATACCACAACCATGGATTCTTAATGAACAGTTTTAATCAATTTCGGGTTATGCTGGACAGCTGTACAATCCCACCTCCTCTTCGTGTCCATAGTAAATGTGAAGTAGGGTGTAAATTTGTATGTTGTCATGTTTTAGCCGCACTTACTGCAACTGGTACTATAGGCACTACATATCATCCTGATATGTCAATAAATAGCAAACTTTCTAATTTACAAGCCGTGAAGTGGTCATTGAAATATACTTGAACGTATGTTCGAGGCATGAATTCAGTGATGTAAAATCGAAATATATATTTCTTAAGTATTTCCAGTATCTTAATTTACCTAATCGTCTAGTAACGCATACATATGTTTCGTTTTTACACCAACATATTTTTGTTTGTTGAAGTTGTACCCTAATATTTGTGTTATACGACGACGGGCTGTAAGTAATAGAGTCTGGGCCAGACAATCGAATGAGCATGGATCTATACATTTTATAATATATACTTTTATATTGCACCCTCTGCTACTGTATGTATGTAAAATGTACTATAGGCCTACGGCCTCTTCAGTACTGTAATAAAGATTGACTGATTGATTGATCTATACATTGGAATACGACGCCAGCAAATCTGACCACCCGATCCAGTCAGTGGCCTCTCAGTCGAAGCATCGTAGCTGAAGACGTCAAACCCTGATCCGCATGCACTGTCTATACGTGATTGTAGTTACTCAATGGTTACTAGTATATCAGAGACAGCTATATTACATACGCTAGAACAACGCTCATATTGCTTCTTTCCTACAACACATCTCATGCATCGTCACAGAGTTACGTCCCTTGGATAGTGGATTCGAATCCTGATTCACCCGATTATGTGACTAAGTTTGTCAGCAGTACGTGTTTGTTAAAAAAGTAGCATACGCCTGAGATCTGCATCATTTCGCATTTTCCCCAACATTTAGCTGACACGCTGTTGGAATATTGTTAAAAGATGTGAAACACATGTTGTATTTACCACGTGGAAGCTGCGATGGCTGAGTGGGTTAGACGTCTGTTGTGCAAACATTGAATATTGCTATATTTTCTTTAATATTTATAAATGGTAGTATGGAAGGAAATGCTGGTTTTGTTATGTTGTAGGGAAAAATGCACTCTCATTACACGCTATTCAACTTTACTCGACTCAGCAGAAGTAAAGACACTTCCGTGTTCAAGAGAGAAGTAGTGCGTACGAAACACGTATGACGTGGTCACATAAGCTCCGCCCACTCATGTTTATTTATGATTACTCTGCACTTAAGACCATTGTAGGTTTTAGGGCACCACAGACGTCTGACTTTGTGTGCTGGCGATTAGGTGCCTGACTCCGAGGGTGTGGGTTCGAATCCTGGATGGGAGTCAACCCAACAAAAGTACAAGAACCTGTACTTTACTAAGAAAGTGTAATCCCAAATATAACATGTGTTGTATTTGACCACTTTCTAAAAATGGCATTCAGTATTCATAGAAAGATGTGATAAATACATACATCGCTCGTTCATTGATTCACAGACACGTCTTGGCATCACTGAAATACCATTCAAAACGGTAAAACGAGGACCACTCTGAACCACTGACATTTTATTCCATATATTCTGTTCACAAGTCGGTCATCTTGACCAATTCCATGTATGATGATATAAATAATGAGACTTTAAAATTTAACGCACTCACTAGCATGAATAATGAATAACTATATTCAGTTGATTTCAACTGAAATCTCTTGCTATCAAGCGCAGGGTGTGCCAGTCAAAGTAAGGCGCTGTGGTAAGTGGCTTTTGAGAAATTGAGATTTACCCCAGGGGTAATCAAATATTGATGAATTGGTCCAGATTCGTCAGCTGGAGTCAACAGATGGCCGAACTCTGATTGATGCACCAACACGCGCTCAGGTGTCTGCGGAGCCAGACCAGATAACAATCTGTCATTCATTTACACTGGGGACCCGTGAAACTGTGGGTTAGAATTGGTCTTCAGCAAACCATGCTTGTCGTGGGAGGCGACTAACGGGATCAAGTGGTCAGGCTTACTTTGTTGACCCGGGTCATCGTATCCCAATTGCGTGGACCGATGCTCATGATGTCAAGCACTGGATTGTATGGTCCAGGTTATTTACAGACGCTATATAGCTGGTATGTTGCTGTGTGTTGCGTTACAACTCGTGATTTGTTATAATTCAGGGACTGACTGACTGACTGAGTTTGGTTTTACGCCGCTTTTAGCAATATTCCAGCAACATCACGGCGGGGGACACCAGAAATGGGCTTCACACATTGTACCCATGTAGGGATTCGAACCCGGGTCTTCGGCGTGACGAGTCAACGCTTTAACCACTAGGCTACCCCACCTCCCACATCAGCAAGAGCACGAGCTTTGTTGTTCCTGCAGAGAATGTGGGGTAGCCTAGTGGTTAAAGCGTTCGCTCCCGGGGTCGATTAAAAGCGGCATAAAACACGACTCACTCACTCTGTGTAGTCCTTGTGACATTGTCATATTCACATGGCATGTCCTATCTGTTTGCAGCCAAACTGCGCCTCTCTTCTACCGACAGATGGGGTTTGGTAGCGTAGTGGTTAAAGCGTTCGCTCGTCACACCGAAGACCCGCGTTCTACTCCCTACATGGGTACAATGTGTGAAGCCCATTCCTTGTGTCCCCCGCCTCGATATTGCTGGAATATTTCTAAAAGCGGCGTAAAACTAAACTCACTGTACTGCAGGTATGGCCATTACATTTCAACTTTTTCCTACAAAATATTGAACCAGAGATAGTCATGCATCGGACTTGCATTAATTAGATCATGTATGGATTCTTTTCAGACTTGTCAAGCTCACAATGTAACACCAATATATTTTACACCTTTCACAAATAGCTGCAGTATACGCGTAGGATACCTTGCAGTGCACACCTCCAGACTGTTTCTATCGATACATTATAAGGTATGCAAAGCAAAGGTTCTGGTATAAAGCGGCCACAACAGCGACCGAAGGAATTGGTTTACCTCAACGGCAAGGATCGTGCTTTGCGATATCTTAGAAACATCATCTGATTTTTCTGGCTGAGTCTCATTTTTTTTACAGGCCGCCCCCGCAGAATTGAATACCACTGAGTTCGGCGTTAAACAGCAAACGATAATAAAACGCGTTGTGATAATGCCAGTATGAGAAAGATTTTTTTGTTTGTAAAAGAACACAAAACGTATTTTATTTTATAACAGATCTATTTATATGAAAACATTATTAACGAAAATATATTTTGAACGAAATGAGTGAGTGAGTTTAGTTTTACGACGCTTTTAGCAATATTCCAGCAATATCACGGCGGGGGACTTGTGTCAACCAAGTCAGCGAGCCTGACCACCCGATCCCGTTAGTCGCCTCTTACGACAAGCATGGGTTGCTGAAGACCAATTCTAACCCGGATCTTCACGCGGCGAAGCCAATCATGAATGCAGCAGCATTGTCACAATGTCGTTGTAAACGTCATACTGTCGACCCCTGAAGCTTCACAAATATGCCGGCCAATTTCAGAGTACATCCCGCTGCTGTTAATCATGGTTCTGAAGTCCTTGTACTGGGGTACTGGTTTTGGCCATGTTATATGTACAGACAGCGTATCGTTCCTCCAGTCAAAGGGGTATCCTACAGCGTCGTTTTCTAAGGGTTGTATGTAGCCCGGGATCCATGTTGGATGGCAGGTAGATCCCCAACACATCACCTGAAGGCGATGGGAGATGTAGACATTCTGGGGGTATCGTTCATAGGTTCTGTAAGGCAT